GTCCGCCTGCGTCAGAAAATCCCACACATTGTCTCCGTTCACTGCATCGCTCACATGTTAGTGCGCGGTTTCGTCTTTAGCCCGTTACATTATCATGTTCATACACCAAGCTAATGTCACTCATTGATGTGTTCCACTTGCGGGGAGGCACTTGCAGCGAAGGATGCGGCAGAGGAGCTCCCCGTCTTCGACATGGTCGATGATCTTATGCGGGCTGTGTCCGAGTTGCTGGGACGGTCAGGTCCGCGCTACGCACGGTTCATGGACCTGCAAGAGCTGTTTACCGAAACGAGCCTTAAAGTCCAAGGCATCCACTCGTTTCGGTGGTTGTCACGGGGGGATGCCATCCGTCGCCTCGTCGCTGTTTTGCCGGCAGTGATTGTGATGCTTAAAGAGCTTAACAACAAGATGTATGCTCTGGCAAGCTCCTACCGTTTTCACTTCTTCCTTTACTTCCTCGCTGTTGTGCTTGAGCAGCTCAATATCTTGAACAAGACCTTCCAGCAGAGACAGGTGAGGTGTTACGATGATATCTATGCATGTGCTTTTACGCCACAATTCTAACTATGTTTTTTTGTGCCTTACGTCTGTCCAGCTCGATCTGGTGTCCTTGCATGGACAACCAATCACTTCGAGAGCCGCTATGTGGACTGCGGCGATGACTTTGGCGGTGGCACCTTTCTTGGAGCGCCAAGGCCCGGGGTGTAACCGCGAAGTGAAGGTGGAGGGAGTCGACAGTGACGGCCGACCAGCTTCTTTCGCGTTCACTCTTCACGACGACCCTGTGGACTCATACAGCGGCCCAGAGGACCACGACGGCTGCATCCAGATTTGCACCGAGTTCTTGGAGAGGATCTTGGCGAACCTGGAGGGGAGGCTCGATGACCTCGACTCGCTCTCTGGAGTCCACCTGTTCATCCCTGATGCATGGCCACAAAGCAAGTCGGAGCGGAATGCTCGATGCCAGGAATGGCTGAACTCGCTAAAGACGATGTTCAAGGCACAGCAACGCGATGAGATCTGACCAGGTACGTTTGGGGTAATCAAGAATATTAAGCCTTCACCCCTTTGCTTGATTATCCTTTATGCTGAATGTTTACCTTTTTTTTCGTCCGACTCTCCCGCCCTCCTCCAGGCATCAACAAGAGGCTGGCAGGCAAGGAGCTTCGCCTCTTTTGTTCAGTCCTTGCCCGTGCCCCCTAGGAAGAGAGAAGCTTCTACAGCAGACTGATGGCGATGCTAAAGACGCCCGACTGGCGGGAGAGTTACCCCAATCTGGTGCAGCTCTGGGTGGCGGTGGCTGTCATTCCCCTCAACACAGTAGAATGTGAAAGGGGATTCACCCGGTAAAACGTGATCAAATCATGGCGGCGAGGGGGGCTCAAGGACGCAAGGCTGGGGGACCTCATGTGTATGTCCCTGATGCAATACGAGCCCAACTACGACGAGGAGGAGCCAATAGGAGATGCCCTAGAGTGTTCTACTGATGAAGATGATGAAAAGAGCTGCTAGGACCTTGTAATGTGGCCTTGTTTGTTTGGCCTGCTAAACTTAAATGAAGAAAAAAAGGTTTAGCATTGTTCAAACTTTGATTTTTAGTGAGGCTGATTAGACAGTGTTTTTTTTTTTTTAGAAGACTGATTTTTCAGCTATTTTTCTGGATACGACTCTGATTGATCAGCCTAGCATAGCCTGGTAACGCTGACATTCCAGCCTAGGAAAAAACGAATCTGAGGACCTGGTTATGAGCATTCATTATTATAGGTTATCATCTGACAATCATGGGATGGGAGATCAACAGGCAAATAGGGTTAAAGTCGTTGGCCCAAATTGCACAAGTTTTAATATCATGACGAGAGGGAGAGTTACTGGTTTGGGTTTTGGCAAGGGTTTCCGATCTCGTGAAATTCGTTTTCTTTCGCCAATCGTAGCCAGCATTGTGTTTTTACCTTGGTGGGTGGGTGTGTCCGACTTCGAAAGTCCCAAATTGGAGCTGCGCTACATTTCAAAGCTTGCACAACCCACTTCGTCAAGTTTGAAAAAAATTGACCCGCGCGGTCCGCTGCTGTTTGCCGCAGGGATCCACCCTATTCTCACCACGACAGCTGCAGCCTTCCCTACGGTTCTGTGCCTAGCATTCGCTTCCCTATCCCTGCTGCCGACTGTGCCGACGCTTTCCACCACTTCACGGCTGGCCTACGCGATGTAGGACTGACCCACAACCCAGGGAAGTGCGCCGCGTGGAGCGCAGCAGCAATAGACCCCCAGCAGCTGCCCGAGGGCGTCCCGCTACGCACGAAGGGGCTGAGAGTGCTGGGAAGCTTCATTGGCACGACAGACGGAACAGCAGCCTTTCTACGATCACAGCTCGAGACACTGTCGTCCCCGCTGCCCCACTTAGCAAAAATGGACCCCCAAGTAGCGGCATTACTCCTAACACGGTGTATCTCCAGGCGCATTTCCTACCTAGCCCGCACCACACCCCTATACCTGTTACCCAAAGCAGAGTGGTCAGGGTGGGGCCGGGCGCTGCTGTACACGCTTCTAGATACTTGCGGGGTGCGCCACCCAAGGGGAGAGACAGAGGACGAACGTATCTGGGACCAAGCCTCACTCCCACCAAGCCTAGGCGGCCTGGGCCTCGCCAACCCAGCAGTAGAGGGCCGGTACAGTTTTCTGGCAAGCTTTGTGCAGGCACACACACTCCTCGGTCAGCTAGAGGGGCAGGCAGGGGCCACTTTGACAGCGGCACTAGACACCCCCGCAACAGCCGACCACAGCCCTAACGAGCTGCAGAGGTGGATCGGGGACTGCAGGGACAGCCTCACGCAGGAGGCGAGGGACCTCTTCTCGGCGGAGCAGGCAAAACCCAAGGGCTAGCTGCAACACCGCCTCGCTCTCCTAGTCCAAGGGGGCTGGAGTGCAGCCCACATTGCCGCATCTAGACAGATGGAGCTGAACCCACGGCTAGGCCACACTCAGCGCCTCGTCCCTCACAGGCTATGGGGCGGGGGACTGGCTCATGGCGATCCCCTACATGCCTTCCCTACGCCTATACCCCTGCCACTTCACGTTCGCCCTCCAGTTTAGGCTCGGCCTGCCACTCTCTGTGCCTGACTGCTGTGACTGCACCAAACGGGTCCCCATCCTGGACAAGAGGCTGCCGAACCACTTGCTTAGGTGTGGTACAGGGCACGGCCGGACCAACACCCACAACGAGCTGCGCGACGAGTGCATCCGCATGGCGCAGGATGCAGGATTTGCAGTGCACAAGGAGTGCACTGCCTTTAGCCCTTTGCACAACAAGAAGGCCGACTTGGCCTTCAGGGATGGGAGCTCGGGGGCGGTATGGCTGGTGGACATCACAATAACAGACCCCATCAGTAAGTGGGATGAGACCGCAAGGAAGGGGAGGGGTTGGGCAGCACGGGAGGCAGCAGACAAGAAGATAGGCCTCTATCACAGCAGGGCTGAGTTTGCTGATTTTTTTCCTTTGGCGGTAGAGACCTATGGCTGCCCCTGTGACGGGCTGCCCACCTTCCTGAAGCTGCTGGCGCACAAAGCTGCACGGAGAATCTTCAACGTGGACCCATCTACCTACCAGGCCGCGAAGATGCTCCACCAGTTCCGCCAGCGCTGGTCGGTCGCACTCCAGAGAGCCCAGGCGGTGAGCTTTCTCACAAAGCTGAACCTGGTGGCAAGAGCAGAGAACCCCCCACTGGGGGGACCAGAGGGGGAGATGAACCCGGGGGACTGTTTCTCAACGCTAGAGGCACCTTAGATAGAAAAGGGGCGGGGGGGGGGGGGGGGAGGGGGTTTGGGAGGGTAGAAGGGTGTGTGTTCGCTAGGTTTTTGTGCTCGGTCAATTTGTGTTTGTCTGCTTGTCTCCATGCTAGACGTGCCCTGCCCTAGAATCTGCATGTTTGTACCGAGCCCCACCTATCAATACAAAGGACCGTTAGAGAGAGAGAGGGTTAGCCTCTGCCCTCTGCCTTTAGCCTCTGCCCTTGGTTTCCTAGCTACTTAAGAGGCTGCTCTAGCCTCCTTTGGTCATTATTCAGTGGGAGCCGGATTTTTTCGCTCGTTCGAGAGAGCGAGAGAGAGAGAGAGAGAGGGTTAGCCTCTGCCCTCTGCCTTTAGCCTCTGCCCTTGGTTTCCTAGCTACTTAAGAGGCTGCTCTAGTCTCCTTAAGTCATTATTCAGTGGGAGCCGGAATTTTTCGCTCGTTCGAGAGAGCGAGAGAGAGAGAGAGAGAGGGTTAGCCTCTGCCCTCTGCCTTTAGCCTCTGCCCTTGGTTTCCTAGCTACTTAAGAGGCTGCTCTAGCCTCCTTTGGTCATTATTCAGTGGGAGCCGGAATTTTTCGCTCGTTCGAGAGAGCGAGAGAGAGAGAGAGAGAGAGGGTTAGCCTCTGCCCTCTGCCTTTAGCCTCTGCCCTTGATTTCCTAGCTACTTAAGAGGCTGCTCTAGCCTTCTTTGGTCATTATTCAGTGGGAGCCGGATTTTTTCGCTCGTTTGAGAGAGCGCGCGAGAGAGAGAGAGAGAGAGAGAGAGAGAGAGAGAGAGAGAGAGAGAGAGAGAGAGAGAGAGAGAGAGAGGGTTAGCCTCTGCCCTTGGTTTCCTAGCTACTTACAGGCTGCTCTAGTCTCCTTTAGTCATTATTCAGTGGGAGCTGGATTTTTTCGCTCGTTCGAGAGAGTGAGAGAGAGAGAGAGAGAGGGTTAGCCTCTGCCCTCTGCCTTTAGCCTCTGCCCTTGGTTTCCTAGCTACTTAAGAGGCTGCTCTAGCCTCCTTTGGTCATTATTCAGTGGGAGCTGGATTTTTTCGCTCGCGTCGGCCGCCAAAGGCGGCCGACGCTCGACGGCGTGGCCTTCGGCCGCGCGCGAGGGGACGGCAAGTAATCACACACGGAGCCGTTTAAAGTCATAAGCATTACACACATGGCAACACCTATCGCGGCCTAGCCGCGCGAAACACTAAATGGAGCAACCGGAGCCCGCGCCTACACACGGTGAGCTCCAAGGGCGTGAAGAACGCCCGTCAGGGAGCGGCACAGCTCCTGGACCACAAGCGTGCTTGCGCCGATCGCCGTGGCTCCAGATCCTGCGCGCAAGTGCCGCCTCAAACAACGGACAGCCTCGCCAAGCTGTCCCGCAGCAGCAGCGCCTCCCGGCGCAGCCAGCACGGGCGCCAGCAGCACCGCGAGCTGGTCCGCCGCGTCCAGGCACATCTCACGCTGGTGGCTACGAAAGGTCTCGGGAGGGATCACGGGGAGAGATGAGTGCGCAAGCACCTGAATCAACAGCAGCACGTGCAGACTCTCTGCGAGGCGGTGGAGCTGACCGAGTGTCGCCTCGGGAACGCGCATCTGCGGAGGCTGAAGAGCCTCCGCCAGGAACTGGAACGGCTCATCAACTACAGCAGAAGGCAAGTCCTGCCCTGCCGCCGAGCCGTCACCCGCGGCCACAAACTCCACCCCCTCAACAGGCGGAACCGGCGGCAGGTGAAGACGCGATCCAGGGGCGGGGGCCGAGGCAGCGGGAGCAAGAGCCGCCGGGAAGGGATTCTGCGGTGGCGGTGCAGCGACAGGCGGCGGACTTGACGGGAGCACATGCGGGCGAGGAGTCCCGGGGGCCGGCAGGGCGCGCATCGAGATGCTCTGATCCTGCCCCGCCCTCTCCTCGCGCACGGCCCTCGACACCTCCCGCTGAAGGTCTGCCATCGTCACGGGCGGACGATACCCGCCTCCACGCCCACGGGGACCCCTCCAGTCCCCCTGGCCTCCGGGGTGCACGGGCCAGTGTGCCTGCTGCTGATAGCGGCGTGGAGAATAGCGCCGGCGGCGAGACGACCTGCGCTCCTGGTGGGACGCGAGCGAATGGGGACGCGACGGGCGCGCAGGCTGGCCAGTCTGTGCAACAGGGAGAGCCTCAGGAGCGGGGTGATCCACTGCGGAAGGGGCCAGCAACGGGGCCGGGCCGCCAGTGGTGGCGGACGCCGCCTGCAGGGACGAGGCAGAGGCCGGAGCAGGCGCGCCAAGGACAACAGCAGGCGGCACAACGGGCACGCCAGGGACAGGAGCAGGCGCGCCAGGGACAGCAGCAGACGGTGGAACGGGCAGGCCAGGAGCGGGAGCAGGCGCTCCAGGGTCAGCAGCAGGCGGTGCAACGATCGCGCCAGAGGCAAGAACGGGCACGGCAGGAGTAGCAGCAGGCGGGGCAACGGAGCCAGGAGTGGGAACGGGTGAGCCAGCAAGATCCCCCCCATGGGCAAACGTCCGCGAATCTTCGCGAAGAACCGGGGGAGCCACCGGAACAGGAGCAGCAGTCGGGGCGGCCTGAGCAAGGTCCTGGGCTGCAGGACCAGACCCCCTCGGGGCAGACGGGGCCGCGTGTTCGGGGAGAAGAAGGTTTTCAGAGACTGTTGTCGAGGGTCTCGGAGCCGGCGGTACAGGGGGCTTCGTCGCCATGGTCCCCGTTTCGGGGACCGACGGGGGCTTGGCGACGACTGCCGACCAGGCGGCAACGCGCTCTGGCGACGGCTCAGGAGCTCCGGCAATCACCATCGCAGGCACAGGGAGGTCGCGGGGCGGGAAGGCGTACGGAAAGCGTACGGGCGGAGGCCCAGAGAACGGATACCAGGCGGCGGCTCGAGTGGCTTTAAATAACTTAGAGACAGCTAATGAAGATGACGAGTTACGTGATCCCTCTTATAGGGAGTGCGGAGATAACTAGTGCAACGGGAGCTAGACTACGGGCTAGGCACGGGGCAAGAGTGATCGTAGCGTTCGTTCGTTCCTTAGTCGTTTCCAAGTGCTAACACTGCTGGCTAGTTCACGGGAAAATTGGCAAGAGTTTCACTAGGAAAACATAACAACTGTTATAGCCACAATAGGCTTGAATGTGCCTAAAACGAAAGATAGAGAGCACAGACGGATTTCTGCACAGCGGCTTCAAACGTTGATAGCGTTCTGCTCACAGCTGCAAATTGTTATAGTCACAATAGGCTTGAATGTGCCTAAAACGAAAGATAGATAGCACAGACGGATTTCTGCACAGCGGATTCAAACGTTGATAGCGTTCTGTTCACAGCTGCAAATGACTTGATTCAAATTGGATCTGGAGCGTCTTCACGTCGTCTACAATTAGCAATTTAGATTGCACGATTTGATAAAGAATTGACGACACAGCGTCGGTTTGAACGAACGGTACTATGGCAGCCACTATAGTCTTAGAACACAAGATAGGAAGAGTTACGAGTTGGGAATGACTCCCAGCTCCTACAAACCCCAAGAGCCGAGGTACAGTGATGTGGAACAGTGCCACACTGTCCCCAACCACGAAGGGTCTCGAAACTACCCTTCACTAGGGCCTACACCAAGTGAAATGTTACACTACACAAAGTAATGTAACTATCTTCAATATCTTGAGGTGTACCCTTTTTGGCGAGCTTCGAAATCACTTGAGGCTTGACACCAAGGCTCGGGCTCTTCATCACAAACTCATCCTTGAGTTCTTGATGGGTCTGCTGCACACACCTGCGACACGCCGAACGTTCGACACAGGACAAAATAGAAACCGCGCACGACAAAATAGAAACCGCGCGCGAGACACAAACGACCGCGTAACACGCGTCTAGCGATAACTCGCTATTGACTCGACACACACACTCGACATCATGACTCAACATTCACACACAATTATAAGCATGAAATATATATTATCCCATGCCCTCATACCATTCCATACACACACACATTCACGCACACGGACAACAAGCCGAGTGCAAACCGTAGGGTTGCACCAACAAACTCCCCCTCGGATTGTTGGCCTTAGGATATGTTGCTCTCTCAGTTCAGAGCCATCCCAGCCAGCTTGCAACACTTCCAATGCTGCTGCTCCACCAGCCTCTTGGTCATCATGTCAGCCGGCTGCCCCGTGGTCTTCACGTAGCGCAACTCAACTTCACCCACGGTTACCATGCTTCTCGTCCAATGCCACTTCACCCTCATGTGCTTTGTGAGTCCATGCAACACAGGGTTCTTAGCAAGAGCAATGGCACCCTGGCTGTCACAGTACAGTGGGGTAGGTCCTTGCTGCTCCTCCCCCAATTCAGCCAACAAACGCCGCTGCCACACAATCTCCCGTACGGCACGGAAGAGTGCCATGTACTCGGACTCCACCGGGCTCAAAGCTTGGTCAACCTGCTTCTTGCTCTCCCAAGCAGTTGGGCCTCCACCAACACAGCATATGAAGCCTCCCAAACTTGTCATGTCATCTGGTTCTGATGCATATGAAGCATCCGAGTAGGCGGTGAGGAACAAACGCCCGGGTTCAACACCATCCGCGCCCTTTTGGCGCCTTTGTGCCGCTGCCGAGTATTGCAGCCCAACGGTCGGTGTTTGGCCAAGATACTTGGCCACCCTCATTCCAGCTGCTACCTGCTCCTCATTAGGGCATTGCACAACCCTAGCCAGCTGCCCGGTAGCAAACGCGACGTCCGGTCGGGTGTTTACCGCCGCATACATGAGGCTGCCCACCAACGAGTGAAATCGGCGCCTCTCCTCTTCACCAACGCTCTCCTCCTCTGGTCCCTTCACACACTTGAACCCAGAGGGAAAGGGTGTAGCCACATGGCCTTCACTCTGCCCAAAGTTGGCAGCCAATGCCTCCAGGTACTTTCGTTGATGCACCCGCATGCACCGCTTCTCCACATCTCGTTCGATGTGGAGCCCAAGGTAGAAGCTCACGTCACCAAGGGCCTTGCACTTGAACTTGTCTTGAAGCTTCAGCATCACCTCCTTCACAAGGTCAGAAGAGGGTGAGAAAATGAGGATGTCATCCACATAAACCACCATGAAACTCCTCTGCTCCCCCTCGCCAAGCATGAACAAGGAGTGATCGGCCGTTGAGGGAGTGAAGCCGATCCCCTCCAACACTTCGCGCAGCTTCATGTACCATTGCCTAGGGGCCTGCTTCAGCCCATAGAGGGCCTTCTTCAGCTTCCACACTCTGCCACTACCATCATCAAACCCCTCTGGCTGCGCCATAAAAATCTCCTCCTCAAGGATGCCGTTAAGGAATGCCGTTACGATGTCCATTTGCTTTACTACCCATCCTTTGATGGCGGCTCCCGCGAATAGGGTTCGCAGCGTCGTCGGCTTCACCACAGGGGCAAACAGCTCCTTGAAGTACACCTTCTCCTTCTGCTGGTACCCCTTGGCTACAAGCCTAGACTTGTAGCGCTCGATCTTGATTTTGAAGAGCCACTTGGACGTTATCGCCGTACGCCCCTCCGGTAGCTCCACCAATTCAAACGTGTCATTCTCCTCGATGCTCTTCAGCTCAATCTCCATGGCCTTCTTCCACTCCTCAGCATCACTACTCTCCAAAGCCTCCTTGAGAGTTGCTGGTTCTCCCGGCATCTCCACCGGAGAGAAGAACGCGAAGGCACACTCCTCGTAGTCACTCTCCTCGTCGTCTCCGACCATCATTGCCGCTCCGGCCAGGGCTGTCTTGCCCTGCTTTCCCGGCGCATCATAGGTCAGCCTATTAGGGGGTTGAACTCTCCTCTTCCCCCTTCCTTCCTCCTCAGCTGCAGGGACTTGAAGGCCTTGGCGTTGCTGCGGTGTGGCTCGAATCCGTGGAGCACTCGTAGTACGGGAAGGGAGTGACGGTGCACGCTCGCTCACTTGCTGCACCTCCTCCTCTTCTTCCTCTGCATCATTGGCCTCCTCTCCCCCATTCACAAGGGAGGATTGCCTTGTGGTTGTGCTGCCGCTGCTCAGCTCCAAAGGCAGCTCCACATGCTCCAAACCGGAACTCTTCACCTCCCCAAACCGCACGCCTATCTTCGCCTCATTCTCCGCCTTCCAATCCTTGTACATGAAGTTCTCCATGAACTTGCAGTCCCTGCTCACCAAGAACTTCTTGGTGAATGGGTCCCAAAGAAGCCATCCCTTGCTGTTTTGAGCCATGCCCAAGTGCACGGCCCACACCGCCTTGGCACCAAGCTTGTTGTGCCGAAGATGCTTAGGCACGAGCGCCATGCACATGCACCCGAACACCCGAAGCATATCCACCTTTGGCTTCCTTCCTAGCCACTCCACATAGGGCACCCATTTGTCTGCTCCCACATGAGTCAAGGCTCTGTTCTTGGCCACACACGCGCTCCGCACCGCATCAGGCCAGAAATAGTCGGGTAGCCCGGCTTCAATGAGCAACCCGCGTGCCGCCTCCGTGATTGTGCGGTTCGCTCGCTCGGCGATGCCGTTCATTGCAGGGGAGTATGGCATGGTGAGGGAGTGCCGAATACCATTCTTCTTCAGCCACAACCCAAACTCCTTGCTCAGGAACTCTCCCCCTCGATCGGTGCGGATTGACTTGACTAGACGGTCTTGTTGCCGCTCCACCATCGGGAACCAATCCGTCTTCAACGTTTCAGCCACGTCGCTCTTCTTGGCCAGCACGTACACCCAAGTCATGCGGGTGTAGACGTCGACAATGGTGAGAAAATACTCAGCTCCAGCAGCTCCAAGCTTCAGGGGGCCCACCACGTCCATCACCACCTCATCAAGCGGTGCCTTTGCCGTTGCCTCCGAACTAGGGAACGGAAACCGGGTGAACTTGGCTTGAATGCACGTCGGGCAGCCAAGCACCTCATCGGGCTCCCCCTTCACACGTATGCCAGCAACCATCTCATTCTTCACTAGCTGCTGCAAGATGGGCAGGGCCACATGCCCCATGCGCCGATGCAAGGTGAGCCAATCACACTCCCCCGTAGCCGAAGTTGGATTGGAGAATGCCGCGCTCGCAATAGCGCCCCACATACTCTCTCCGTAGTCCTCCTCCGCTGCTGCCTCTGGGTTCTCCTCACCCTTTTGCTGCTCCTTGGTTGCTGCACCACTCTCCTTAGGTTCACTGAACTTGCTGGTCCCTCCAGGTTTGCTCTTCTTGAGCTCATTCTCCTTAGCGCGACCGTTCGCGCCATCGTCGCTACCGACCGCTCCATCCTTGGTGCTGATGCTTGCTGCCACTTGCCTCTCCTTAGGCATAGGGACCACTGGGATCTGCCACATCTCGTTGTAGACATCCCTGTCCTCATGAAGGTCCCAGAGAATTCGATCGCCAAGCCTTGCGGTGTAGGTCTTGGCTCCCTTCGAGTTCGTGTCCATGCCGGCCTTTGCCAACCGCCGCACGGAAATCAGGTTTGCAGCAAGGCTGGGCACCCAAAGCACGTTCTTGAGGCCCACCATCTTCCCATCAGCACCCTTGAACATGGCCTTGCCCATGCCTTTCACCTCTGCTCGCTGCCCCAAAGCCGATGTGACATGCTTCACCGGTGACGGCTCGAGTTCGGTGAGCAAGTCCGGGCGAGGTGTCATGCTATAGGTAGCGCCACTATCAATCACCCAATAGTCCAGGGGGTGTAGGGTCACCTTCCCCACAGCTGCTGGCTCCTCAAAGCCTTCATCCTTCTCTGGACCAGCCGGTACTTGCGTCGACACGAAGTAGAATAGACCCGGGTATCGATCGTCGCTCGGGTCCTTGTCGTTGTCTCCGCTCT